CACTGTGACTTTCACTGTATATGTTGTCCCATCGAATTGGAGTTCTCAATATATATGATTTAAAGACTCCTAAATAACGGTTCATTTTGATAATACTAACATTTCATTGGAAATCTTCATAGAATAAATTTGTTAAAATTGAATGATTTCGACAGTAGAATAAAGCCCCTTCATTTTAAAAACTTGTTAGTACTATTATCAACACCATTTAATGGCAAATATAGCTGACATAGTCTAATATAGGCATAGCTTCTTGGAAATATCTAACTGAATGGTCTATTTGCATAAAAATAATACTTAATGTACATAATTCATTTCACTGTAGTTTAGTGATTACACGCAACTTCTTTATACTTAGGTCACATGGTTATATTACTTCTCATATTGATTATCCACGATCCCGCACGCTGTTCCCGAACCCAGAACCTTTAGACCACTGGGCCGGCATCCGACGGTGTTAATGTATAACTTTAACCAATCCACGGTATTGCGCGACCATCCACCATTATCTTCAGTGAGTAACTGCTTCACAACAGACATGGTTGAACTCCAGTGGTCAATAGTCTAACTTTGATCCATTCATGATATCAATCTAAACTCAAAAATCTTCACAACCATATACTGATAATTATCATGTGCCCACTAGTGACTAGCTCAAAATGGATTCTCTGAATTTTTAGAGAGAAGTCGTGACCACATAACCCGCATATGGGATCGTGGGTGTGCACTTCTGAGGAGTCCCATACTAGGACGAAACGGCCATCCAGTGCTTCTAGGTTTTCAATGGTGGTCTAACAGTGATCTATTCATGATATCAATCTAAAAGAGAATTCAGCAGAGAAAATCTTATTTTTGAGGCAACCATTTCCTTAAGATGTAAATTCGTATTTATAGTTGTTTGGTAAATATATGTATGTAGGAAGAAAAGATTGCATCATAAAGTGATTCGAGACTCCAAATATCAAATGAGGTTGTGCAGTAATCAGAGGGTTAGAGAAAAATAGAAGTATGGAAATAATTTACGGGTCAGAATTATGAAAGAATCGTTCGCTTGACAGATATAGATAAAAAATGATCATAGAGGTCTCAATAATAACTGATTACAGTTTAAAATTTAAAAAAAAACAATACTTTAAAAAGGAATGATTTAAGAAAGAACAAGACCAAAACATACTGCAGAAGGGAATCAGGGTCAAAGAAGAATGGGAGTTTGGATGTATTGTTTTTGCACGCAGAGTTCGGGCTTGAATTCGGGGATCATCAACGCCTCAACAGTGGATAAGCTTTTGATTCCGCCTACCTTTGATCCAGTCCCTTTGATTGTGTGGATTATTTTAAAGAAAGACTCTTCTAGAGCAACGTGTTCAAATATGATTAAGTGCTTCTTCATCAAACTGGTAGCTGTTTTGCATTCTCCTTTTAAAAAATGCATCATGTAAGGTTCTGATATGCGTTTGGAAAGTGATCGTTTTGTGAGGCCAATGTAACCTACCTCATAGGAGAAATCAAAGATGTACATTGATGTGGCACAAAGCGGAAGTTCGTCATTGGCACATCCGTGAATGTTAGGCCGGTTTGAGAAGACAATACAGAGCTTGGCTGAATAGAGTGTTTCATTCAGGGATTTCGAAATCCGTTTATTAAAGAGTTCGGCAGTCGTATCTCCTTTAAATTCAACATTCACAAAAGTTTTCTTTTGAGTTTTTGGTGCTTTTTCAGGATGTCGTCTTGTTATTAAGTTCCTATCGACAAATCTAGATGAATAACCATTTCTGATGAAGATTTGTCGAAGTTAAGTAGTTCGTCATCTATTGTATCATTAGAACATATTCGCTTAATCCATGAGGATAATGAGTGAATTAAGTTTCTCTTCCTACTAAATGGGACCCAGCTATGGAAATTCGTATAATGATCATTCCAGGTCTGTTTTCTACATAAAGATTTCTATGCATCTACCAGTTCACCTGCTGTTGTTGAGCAAGGTACATACACCGTAACCAGCACTTGCTTTCAACTGGGGTGCAAGAACATGTTCGAGTGTGGTTCTACAAGGGTGAGAAGAAAGCAGTTAGAAGTTCCATTCTTGAACACATAATCGACTCTATTCCTATTGTATTATTATTAGCTTTTTTCAATATTATATTTTTGATACAATATAGAATTCTCAGCGCAAAGTATTTCAACAAGTTTCCGTTTCTTATTTCTTGACTGATCCTGACGATAAATTTTGAGGGGTCACCAATTAGATGTTAACAGTTCAGGAATCAACATTTGAATAGTGCACATTCTTTTCGATACATATTGCCAGAAACCATAATGTCTCTGGTTGTGCTCTTTCCTAACTGAATAGGTTATGCGATTAATTGAGATAATGATCTTTTGAAACAGACAAAAGACAGATAACTTGTTGAAATATCCAGATGTCGGGAATAGGTAGCCCAGATATTCAAACAGGACTCGAATTACTCAACTGATGCACAGTTTGATTTTAAAGCTGTGCATACAGTCCGTCAAAATCTACCTAGATTTCTTAGTACCCAACTCCCTAAAACATCAGAAGCTCCAACCACCCGTGATCTGAAGCCAGAACTGTGTGCACAAAAGGGTTACGAGTAATCCTTGACCTTAAACTATTATTACTACTATATTTCATATATGAAAATATCCCCCTCTCTCTAATTATGTTTCAAATCCTCATGATTTTATACATAGTTGATTCTGATATCACTTAATTTCACTTAACCCCTCCATTACCTTTGATTATTGTAACAAAAACAATTTGATCATCTAAATTCATTTACATTATAATCCTCTGCTAACTTATTAATCTTATAGGGCTTTCTATTTGCACACACAATCTCTTATTGTTATTATTCGCATTAGGTATATATAGAGGCATCACATTACTGTCAGTACGAGGAAATGTTTTCAACTAAGTGTTGCTGGACCGAATGAAAAATTCAGTAGACACACAACTTCGAAATCAACAGCTTGGATTCCGTAAGGATCGGTCGTTCATAGACCAAATCGTGATACTACAGATCATTGGCATGCAGTCTTCTGAGTGGAATCTATCACTACATATCAACTTCCTCGACAATCAGAGAAGGCGTTTGACAGCGTGAATAAAGGAACACTGTGGAACCTTCTTCAACACTATGGTATACAGAAGAAGACTGTCATAATCATAAGGAATTGATATGACCGACTACACTGCAAAGTCGTAAATGGAGGACAGCTGACAGATGCATTCCATGTGACGACCGGAGTCAGACAAGGCTGTTTACACTCACCCTTTCTATTTCTCCTGGTGGTTGACTGAATCATGAGGACCTCGACATTTGAGGGTAAGCATAGAATACAATGGACAGCTTGAATGCAGCTAGACGATTTGGACTTCATACATCGCCTAGCTCTTCCATGCCATATACATCAAAAACTGCTGGTGAAGACAGTCAGTGCAGTAGCAGCCTATGCATCAGTAGGCCTGAACACACACAAGATAAAAACCAAGATCCTGAAATACGGCGCACAATCAGACTTTATGGAAAATCTATGGAAGAGATAGGGAGATTTGTGTACCCTGGCATTATCGCTGATAAATCAGTTGGATCTGATATAGAAGTGAGGTGATGGATTGGCCAAACAAGAAAAATGTTCCTCCAATTGAAAAGCATCTGTAACTCAAAGCAACTGTCTGCCAACATCAAAGTCACAATTTTCAAATCAAACATCAAGACAGTTTTATTGTACTAGGGCGAAACTTTCTGAGCTACTACAACCACCATCAAGAAGGTACAGGTATTTATAGACAGTTGTCTATGCAACATACTTGATGTCTGTTGGTCAGATACTATCAACAACAACCTACTGTGGTAGAGAACAAATCAGCTTTCAGTTGAATAGGAAATTATGAAAAGACGATGGAAGTGGATAGAAGATACATTGAGGAAATCACCGGAAATCACTTCATCACCAGGAAGTCCCAGCTTGAAATCTTCAAAGAATAAGGCTAAAAACACATGTTACTGGGAATCGGAGGCAGATCTCAAAAGAATGAATAGCACCTGAAAGAGACTAGAAAGAAATGCCCAGGACAGGGTAAGTTAGAGTTTGCTGTTTGGCGGCGTGTGTTGTTCTACGAGGGTTAACAGGCATAGATGTTCAGGTAGTAATTATTTTTTCGGCTATACATGTATATTGAATTGTTTGAATACACAACCAATATCAAAGTCACAATCTTTAATACCAACGTCAAGGCAGTTCCATTGTACGGAGCTGAAACTTGGAAAACTACAACAACCACCATCAAGAAGGTACAAGTATTTATAAATGGTTGCCTACGCAAGATACTCAACATCCATTGACCGGATACCATCAGCAACAGTCTTCTGTGGGAGAGAACAAACCATCTTCCAGCTGAAGAAGAAATTAGAAAACGACGATGGAAATGGATAGGACATACATTACGCAAATCATCAAACTGCATCACGAGGCAAGCCCTAACTTGGAATCCTGAAGGAAAGCGGAAAAGAGGAAGGTCAAAGAACACATTACGTCGGGAAATAGAAGCAGATATGAAAAGGATGAATAACAACTGGAAGGAGCTGGAAAGGATTGCCTAGGACGGGATTGGATGGAGAATGCTGGTTAACGACCTATGCTCGTTCACGAGGAGTAACAGGTGTAAGTAAGTAAGTAATATGTATATTCTTCATAAGCGTTCAAAAGACCAAACATAAATTTGGGTGGTTTCTTATCACTTATCATTCAAAATTCTTTTTCATAATTATGAATCAATGATGAATGAATTAAGAGAAAAGTGTTCGAATCATCAAATCAGTTCATACTTCTATTTCAGATCTTAGGAAAAAAAACATGATAAACATACAAAGATGACATTCAATTACAAATATTAAATCATTTTGACTGGAAAAATCTAGCTTAATAAATAAGCCTTTATTAACTGTTTATATGGTATCAGTTGAAGAAAGATATTTTAAAAATAAAACATAGTTTTGTTACAATATATCCATGAATTTGAGTAATTGTTAATCATTTAGTTAGCATAAAATTTAAAAACCTGACCCTCCATTTCCCATTTGTCCTAAACTGAACAAACCACCAAAAGGATTTAAACTGGACAAGGGATTAACATCTTGTCCTACTGAATTAAAATCTGTATCTTTCTCTTTTTCTTTCCCATATTGATTACTTTCTTGATTGTCTGATTGTTCATTCGCTGTATTTGGCGTTGATGGATAATTTTGTTCATTATTTCTTTCTGCAGGAGTAGAATAGTCTGGTTTACCTAATTTACTTCTAATATAACTACTACCATAATTAACAGGATTTCTGTTAGTTTCATAATCTTTAGTATTGTACATATCATGATAATTATTATTACTATTATCATTATTCACATTATTTTCAATGTTATTATATTTATTGTTATTTTGATAGGGTATATTACGTTCAGGATGATTGTTGGTTTTGTAATTATCATATCCATTGTAAGCGTCATTGTTATTGATATTATAATTGACATTTTGATTCATCTGTTTGTTATTGTGGTTATTACGATCATTATTGTAATTGTAATTAGATTTGTCATCGAAATTATTCCGGTCATTATTATTATTACCATTATGGTTGTACTTGTAAGCACGATAACCATTCTGATAGTTTTGATTACCGTTACGATTGTAATTGTTATTATTCCCGATATTACGATTTTCATTATAACGTCTTTGGTTATTATAGGCTTTGTTGTAATTATTATTATTATTATTATTATTATTATTATTATTATTATTATTATTATATCTTTTATTATTTCTTCGCCTACCATTATATCTGTTGGCATAATTGTTAAATTTGGTATTTTTAATCACGTAATTTCTATTGGAATTTCGATTATTCCTACGGTCATTATTGTCAGATATATAAACATTGCGTGTATAATCACGATTGTAATTTTCAGCATTATATTTTACATCATTATTGTAGCTGCCAGTGTTTTTGATGTAATCATGTGAATAGTAGTCGTTATTGTTACCATCATTGCCATTACTGTTGTAGTTATTGCCATTATTGTAATAATTGTTTTTATTACCATTGTAATTATTGTGATTGTTATTGTAATTGTCATTGCCATTGTAGTTATTGCCATTATTGTAACGATCGTTACTATTACCATTGTAATTATTGTGATTGTTATTGTAATTGTCATTGCCATTGTAGTTATTGCCATTATTGTAACGATCGTTACTATTACCATTGTAATTATTGTGATTGTTATTGTAATTGTCATTGCCATTGTAGTTATTGCCATCATTGTAATAATTGTTTTTATTACCATTGTAATTATTGTGATTGTTATTGTAATTGTCATTGCCATTGTAGTTATTGCCATCATTGTAATAATTGTTTTTATTACCATTGTAATTATTGTGATTGTTATTGTAATTGTCATTGCCATTGTAGTTATTGCCATTATTGTAACGATCGTTACTATTACCATTGTAATTATTGTAATTGTCATTGCCATTGTAGTTATTGCCATTATTGTAACGATCGTTACTATTACCATTGTAATTATCGTGATTGTTATTGTAATTGTCATTGCCATTGTAGTTATTGCCATTATTGTGACGATCGTTACTATTACCATTGTAATTATTGTAATTGTCATTGCCATTGTAGTTATTGCCATCATTGTAATAATTGTTTTTATTACCATTGTAATTATTGTGATTGTTATTGTAATTGTCATTGCCATTGTAGTTATTGCCATTATTGTAACGATCGTTACTATTACCATTGTAATTATCGTGATTGTTATTGTAATTGTCATTACCGTTGTAGTTATTATTATTACCGTTATAATTATTATTATTATTGTAGTTTTTGTCATTGTGATGATTGTTGTCATTACTTTTACTACTACTACTATCAGAATATGTGTATTTCTTCTTAACATTATTGTAATTCTTTGTTTCCTTTTTATCATTATAATTATTAGTTTTCTTATTCTGATCAGTATATTTATTCGATTGTTGATTATATGTCGATTTTGGTATATGTTTAATAACTTCACTGATTTCTCGACGTTTTTTTACAGTTTTCACATATTTCAATGAATTTTTATCTTGATATATACTTTCTGCATTCATAGTTACATTAGGTTTAACATTGTATGCACCATTATTCTTTTTCACATTATTACCATAAGATGATGATGATGTTATTGATAATGATGCTGGAGACAGAAGTGAAGAGGATGTATTTGTTGTTTTTGTATATGTTTGAATAGCAGTATCAATTTTTGTTTTTTCTTTCTGATGTGTTAATGCTTCATCTTCTGTATATGATCGTTTTTCAACTTTTGGTGAACGTACCACATAATAATAAGATGATGAACTTTCTTTTTGATTATTCGACGTAGCTGATAAGATGGATGGAATGCATTGTATAATGATTGTTATAATTGATAATAATCGAATTTTCATGTGTCTTTATGTAGGAATTCGTTTATTTATTCTTTGTTCTAATGTATAAAATAAACAGTAGTAGATCCAGAGGAAAGTTTAAAATGGGTAATTAATGTGTTAATATATATATTGAATGAATAAATATGAACTATTGAATATTATCTTATGATGTAATCATTTATAGTATAGTATTATACCATACGGATAAATTGCACTTTTCTATTTAATCTTCAATTATTTACGCATATTATTGATTATATCACATTAATTTTTATGCCAGTTTACTGAATGCTTATCTCTAAAATTAATTAATAAAGTTAATCATTAGTGAAATCATTTAAATTAATCTATAGTGGCTAATATTATGTTGAACCATTATAACTTATTCGAGCTTCTGATCAAACCAATTCAACTATTCTTCTCAAGTTACACTTTGACCTTGTCATTTATTGCTTATTCATCCTGACTGTCTTTTATATAATCATGTGTGCATGTATTGCTTATCTTACACATTACATGTCTGTAACTGATTTTTCTCTGACTATAAATATTGATTCACACTTGGTTAAATTGAATTGGTTAACTCACCTTCTCCACTGTGCGTCCTTTCGTTTTGCTACACTTTCACCTCTATGCTTCCTTCGCTGTAATTCTCTGACTGTCTGTTCCGATTAATTATTGTATGAAACATAAGTATTCAAACTCCATTCTCGAATTTGACTTATTTAATTTCGTTATTCAGTAAAGCGAGTTAAGTCGATAATTATATGCGAGAACTGGCGAAATGTATATTTCGATAACAAACAGAAACTATCTAACTGTAGTCAAATATAGAGCTACTAAAAATCAACTGTTTTACGACTAAACTGGGGCGTAACTGATTTTTCAACTTCTTGCAGAAAAACATCTTTTTCATTGTTATTTGATTACTTTTGGGTAAAACACCACGTCAACATTAGAAACTAAGTATTTCTGATATTTACAACAATATTGGAACTATTAACATATTGTTTTACATTTTAAATGATTGATTAGCGTTTATTTAAGATACATATACATTCAAGTTAGTGAACTTGGAGTATCCAAGGTAAATGTTTGTTGAAAGTGAAAGTCCATTTTTTTCTGTTTTCTTAGTGAAATATAATTTGTTAAGTGATATATGTGACAAATGAATACTAAGATATATATCAAGATATTTTATCTATTATATTTTAAAAGTGGGTTAAGATTTCATCATTTGATAGCTAAATTATTGGATAATTCAGTTAGCAATTACTAGATAATGAAAACATTTCAGTATTCAAATGGAATTTAGTCTTAATCTTTTGTGATTGGACACTGAAATTAAAGCATATTATTGGTTAAATTTTTTTCGGAGAGTTTTCCATCATTCAGTTTTACTATGATTTGAAGCATAACATAAATGATAAATACAGTAGTTTATTACGACTACTATTGCTGTTTGCATTGTGCATTATGGAAAATATAATTACATTAACTACCATGTAATCAATCTTATCTATTTCCGGATTTGATTTGATCACTATCTCATTCCCATCCTGTGTTTTTGAATTCCTTACAACTTCTTGTGAACAGATTTATTAAGGTCATAACTTATAATCTTTGTTACTCGAATCCCTTCCGTCATTAATTTTGATTGATTCATTCTATGTTATACTTGAACACGTATATAGTTGTAAGCGGCTGATGAGAAATTACGAATTCATATGATTCTACTTCACTAATTGTTCTGGCTTGAATTATAAAACTCGTTAAGGGAAGCAACTGCATGAAATGCTTAGATCAGATGAAAATCAGCGTAAGTTGATTATTTCAAACTAAATTTTCAGTGTACAGTAACTTAGTTTTTTGGTATACTTATTTTACCAAAAAACTATTCCTGTCATTTATACTCTATGGTATTCTATAAGTTCTATTTAACTTAAATAAACAATAATTCTAGTATTTGAGATCATGAGTCAGTTGAAGCTAGACCACCATGGAAAACCTGGAAGCACTGAACGGTCGTTTTGTCCTATTGTCGAAATACTCAGCAGTACCCATTCACAATTTCTTTATGAGAAATGACACTAAACACTTTTTACATTATTTGAACAACGACTATGAATGGTACTGGACTTATTCATCTTACATTACTACAAAGATAGGTTATTAACCTTATAAAACTGAAGTGTAAATGTATGCCATGTTTTTTCATACTATATATGTAAAACGTAAAATTGTATTGTCTATTGTATTTAATATATTTTGATGGAGTTTTGTTCTCTGAGCTGAATGGTATGGTCGTAGAGCTTTCATCGTTCTTCTGAACGACATCATCAGCACAAACTTCAGATAGAAGTGAAGTGTTCGAATTTCTCCATATGCGTTTCACAGAGTGTTCTGTACACCTCGACGTTGATTGGTTCTTATTGACCTTAAGGTTAGAACACACTGTGAAACGCATATGGAGAAATTCGAACACTTCACTTCTATCTGAAGTTTGTGCTGATGATGTCGTTCAGAAGAACGATGAAAGCTCCACGAACAAACCATTCAGCTCAGAGAACAAAACTCCATCAAAATCATCCACCTGAGCTACAAATCTTCTCCACCATCTCAGTATTTAATATATTTTTATCACAATTTATTAGTTACCATCTAAAGTAAGTACTTATGCTTGTAATCCATTTATTATGATTTGAATTCTTTATTTACTATCACTACGAAAATATCTTCAATTTTGTTCTCAACAAATGGAAGTTTATTCTAAAGACAATCATGTTCTAATATGTTTTGTAATTACATGCAACTATTTAAATGAATAAGATTTTAGTTATTAATAAAAATAATTATTTTTGTAATTTTAAAAATGTATAAAAGTAATTGGTAGTCTTTGAGGAGAAATGTACTACAATAATGTGAATTATTACAAGTAAAGCATTCTATTTCCAATGTGTTTCATTTATTTACATACATCTTAGAATATGTGAAATATGAAGTTAAAAGGTTACATTATTAACTGTTAAATCTCAAGATTATTTGTTGATTTTAAAAAGAGTAAGAATAAAGATTCTAGGAGAATAGCATAAATTCATTTTTACTTTGTAAGTCCTCGTCAGCTACTTATAACTTGTGATATTTAAAATTATAATTACATAATGGGTTTAAATTACTTACATGAATTTATCCTATACTGCTAGAATTTTTGTTCTTGCTCTTTTCGAAATGATAAAAGGAACTATGTGTATGATATGTGTTGATTATTTGAAAAACCTTTTAAAAAATCCTTGAAGTATTCCCTCAAATTTTTTTTCCTTTTAATGAAGTAAAATGAAATTTCCATTGGTTTCATATTCATATCATAAACAAATAGTTGATGAAGAAATATGTCTATCTGATATAAATATGACTGTATAGCTTTTAGAAATAAAATCAATTTAATGAAAAACCTGGGACAGATGTGCGTTGACGTAAGTTGACAATATGATATTAACACAACGAAATGAACAGAAAACAAGAGTTTGAAATACTGTGATAGTAATCATAAAAACTGTTAGGGATGCTGAGGAATATACCAATCATTATCATGATGTCCTTGGACTCTAAATGGGCATTCCCTATTGGCCGTTATTTATTTCAGTCGTTAAAAATTGTACAGATGTTGGTTTCTATTTTTATGGTACGATGTGGTCTGTTTGGTTAGTATATAAATAGAGTATGTCTGAAATACAATGATTCAAATCTCAGAGGCTGTGACTTGTTTTCTGGACTCAACTGGCTGGGCTAGACAGGGAAGCAGGGCCAGTCGGGACTCTAAGTCGTTCATTACGTGTTTACGTGTCACTGAATCGATCGATGAATACGCTGCGCATCTAACCTGCAGTCTATCCGTTACAACAAAAACAAAGACTAAATCTTGGGAATATAGTTCTAAAAGACCAAGAAAAAAAAGAATGTATGAATGAATACTGGAATTCAAGATCGAAGGGAAGATAAAGAATGGAACAATATTCCGAAGTCAGCATATTTACTTTTCTAAAACTTGAAGAAGGATGAATATTTGGCTAATACAACCACGTCCAGGTCTCAAACAATACTGGTTTTCCCACATTGACTTTTCACAGACACTGGCTAGGTGTCCGATGGTCATGGAGGTTAATATTTACTTTAGTCAAACTAAAACCTGCGTGAAAGTTACAAGAGTATTTTTCCTTTCCTAAAAACTGGAACGATCAACGATTGAGATCACTTAGATGGGATTGAGTTCAGATTTCAGATTCTACCTAATATCTCTGTCAGTTTAACAGTTAAAACTGCATCACATTCCTTTATCACCTTTTGCGTCAATCCATAAGGACAGTTTGTTATCCACAGTTTTAGACTACCTTTAGGATTATCAAATTCATCAATAGTTGAGGGACTTCCGTCAATGTGCCATGAAGGTTTATTAGTGGTAGAGGGTAACCATAAGCCAGTTGAACTGTTAGACGGTCGGTCATTCACAAAGTAGAACCCGTACGTATGTACATAGGTTCAAGTTGCCATACTCCATAAACACAGAGAGATGAAATGATTAGGTCAAGTCTCAGAATAGTAGAGGTAGTATCAGTATCAGTGCTAATAAAAACGATTCGGGATAAAAGATACGATAAGAGAAGAAAATATAAATCGGTGCAATAAAAAAATTTGGAGAATTCAGAATCTCAGGATTCGAGGGAAGATAAATAATGGATGCACCTGCGCCACTGCAAACGATTTTGAGCCACGTCATTCAAAGTCCCTAACCATTGGTTGCGATAATCACGCGGACCGCAACCAGGTAGTCTGTACCTATTAACATGACTTAATGGACTGATGCTATATTTTGGTTTGAATGTCTTGACATTTGCTCTAGACTATTCTCACACACGACAGTTGCTGCTGTGGTATGGAAATGCAAGAACAACGAATTTCGAGACAATTATTGAACATTTTGCAAATTAAGTATTATAGTATGGTTTTTCTATTTTACCAAA